GTAACACTAGCAGCAGTGAGGTCACACTAGCAGCAGCCAGGTAACACTAGCAGCAGTGAGGTCACACTAGCAGCAGTGAGGTCACACTAGCAGCAGTGAGGTCACACTAGCAGCAGCCAGGTCACACTAGTAGCAGCCAGGTCACACTAGCAGCAGTGAGGTTACACTAGCAGCAGCCAGGTCACACTAGCAGCAGCCAGGTCACACTAGTAGCAGCCAGGTCACACTAGCAGCAGTGAGGTTACACTAGCAGCAGCCAGGTCACACTAGCAGCAGCCAGGTCACACTAGCAGCAGCCAGGTCACACTAGCAGCAGTGAGGTCACATTAGCAGCAGTGAGGTCACACTAGCAGCAGCCAGGTCACACTAGCAGCAGTAATGTCACACTAGCAGCAGTGAGGTCACACTAGCAGCAGCCAGGTCACACTAGCAGCAGCCAGGTCACACTAGCAGCAGTAAGGTCACTCTAGCAGCAGCCAGGCCACACTAGCAGCAGTGAGGTCACACTAGCAGCAGTAAGGTCACACTAGCAGCAGTAAGGTCACACTAGCAGCAGCCAGGTCACACTAGCAGCAGTGAGGTTACACTAGCAGCAGCCAGGTCACACTAGCAGCAGCCAGGTCACACTAGTAGCAGCCAGGTCACACTAGCAGCAGTGAGGTTACACTAGCAGCAGCCAGGTCACACTAGCAGCAGCCAGGTCACACTAGCAGCAGTCAGGTCACACTAGCAGCAGTGAGGTCACATTAGCAGCAGTGAGGTCACACTAGCAGCAGCCAGGTCACACTAGCAGCAGTAATGTCACACTAGCAGCAGTGAGGTCACACTAGCAGCAGCCAGGTCACACTAGCAGCAGCCAGGTCACACTAGCAGCAGTAAGGTCACACTAGCAGCAGCCAGGTCACACTAGCAGCAGTAAGGTCACACTAACAGCAGTAAGGTCACACTAGCAGCAGCCAGGTCACACTAGCAGCAGTAAGGTCACACTAGCAGCAGTGAGGTCACACTAGCAGCAGTAAGGTCACACTAACAGCAGTAAGGTCACACTAGCAGCAGCCAGGTCACACTAGCAGCAGCCAGGTCACACTAGCAGCAGTAAGGTCCCTCTAGCAGCAGCCAGGTCACACTAACAGCAGTAAGGTCACACTAGCAGCAGCCAGGTCACACTAGCAGCAGTAAGGTCACACTAACAGCAGTAAGGTCACACTAGCAGCAGCCAGGTCACACTAGCAGCAGTATGGTCACTCTAGCAGCAGCCAGGTCACACTAGCAGCAGTAAGGTCACTCTAGCAGCAGCCAGGTCACACTAGCAGCAGTAAGGTCACTCTAGCAGCAGCCAGGTCACACTAGCAGCAGTGAGGTCACTCTAGCAGCAGTAAGGTCACACTAGCAGCAGCCAGGTCACACTAACAGCAGCCAGGTCACACTAGCAGCAGTGAGGTCACACTAGCAGCAGCCAGGTCACACTTGCAGCAAGTGTTTGGAAGGCCACCCAGGTACCAACATACTGTCACATTCACCAACTTTCTAAGCCACGTTAAGAAGACAGTAGCGCAGGAAGACCATAACTCTCACAGGTGGCACATTATCCTCACAGTATTACTGAGACACTGAAACACAGAGGTGCTCCACACGGGGTCATGTGAAAACCAAATGTGACCATCAGCTGATAACCCATAAAATGAGTTTATTAGGTATAACAAAATAAACAGAAGATAGAAAAAATATATGTTAGTATCTTCCAGTAGGCAAAGAAAGAGAATGTGATCTTCAGTAGTGACAAATATCAACTTCTTGGATATGGAAAGAATGAAGGAGAGAGGTAGGATAGAGAGGAGCACGGGGAGGGGGGAGAGGGACTGCATGTTTCTGGACTCTAAGAAGGTGTTTAATACAGCATTCCACAATGACTGGCACGAAAGCTACTGGAGCAGGCAGGAATAACAGAGAAAACACTACAGTGGGTCGAGGAATGCTTAATAGGTAGGAAACAACGAATTACTCTCCGGGAGGTGTTGGTATGGGTGAGTGTAAGGAATGGGGTCCCACAAGGGTCAGTACTTGGACCAGTGTTGTTTATGGTTCATATAAATGACGTAACAGTGGAAATCAAGTCAGAGATGTCTCTGTTTACAGATGATGTAAAACTAATCACTAGAATACAAATAGAAACAAACCAAATGAATCTGGACCTATGGTTAGTAGAATTTAACCCCAGCAAATGCAAAGTTATGAAAATCAGGGAAGGGCAAAGACGACCGGAAACAGAGTACAGGCTTGGGTGAGAAAGGCTGCAACCTGGCCAGCCGGGCTGTGGCTCGTACGTTGGTTTGCGTGCAGCCAGCAGTAACAGTCTGGTTGATCATGCTCTGATCCACCAGGAGGCCTAGTTACAGACCGGGCCGAGGGGGCGTTGACCCCCGGAACTCTCTCCAGGTAAAGGAGAAGAGTCACAGGGTGAGCATAGTGCCGATCATATCACCTGAGGCACACATCAGCAGAATAACCGCTGCAGTAAGCGAGAGACTGATAAATTTAAGAGTAGCCTTCAGGAACCTCAACAAGGAGTAATTGACAAGCCTGTACAGGTATATGTCAGGTCCATCTTGGAATATGCAACGTTTGATAAAGCACGTAAAGAAGACGGAAACAATGCAGAGGTTCGCTACTCGGGTCGTCCCAGAGTTGAGAGGTATGAGCTGTGAGGAGAGGCTAGAGGAGCTGAAGTGTGAGGAGAGGCTAGAGGAGCTGAAGTGTGAGGAGAGGCTAGAGGAGCTGAAGTGTGAGGAGAGGCTAGAGGAGCTGAAGTGTGAGGAGAGGCTAGAGGAGCTGAAGTGTGAGGAGAGGCTAGAGGAGCTGAAGTGTGAGGAGAGGCTAGAGGAGCTGAAGTGTGAGGAGAGGCTAGAGGAGCTGAAGTGTGAGGAGAGGCTAGAGGATCTGAAGTGTGAGGAGAGGCTAGAGGATCTGAAGTGTGAGGAGAGGCTAGAGGAGCTGAAGCGTGAGGAGAGGCTAGAGGATCTGAAGTGTGAGGAGAGGCTAGAGGAGCTGAAGTGTGAGGAGAGGCTAGAGGAGCTGAAGTGTGAGGAGAGGCTAGAGGAGCTGAAGTGTGAGGAGAGGCTAGAGGAGCTGAAGTGTGAGGAGAGGCTAGAGGAGCTGAAGTGTGAGGAGAGGCTAGAGGAGCTGAAGCGTGAGGAGAGGCTAGAGGAGCTGAAGTGTGAGGAGAGGCTAGAGGAGCTGAAGTGTGAGGAGAGGCTAGAGGAGCTGAAGTGTGAGGAGAGGCTAGAGGAGCTGAGTGTGAGGAGAGGCTAGAGGAGCTGAAGCGTGAGGAGAGGCTAGAGGAGCTGAAGTGTGAGGAGAGGCTAGAGGAGCTGAAGTGTGAGGAGAGGCTAGAGGAGCTGAAGTGTGAGGAGAGGCTAGAGGAGCTGAAGTGTGAGGAGAGGCTAGAGGAGCTGAACGTGACTACACTAGAGGACAAAAGTCTTAGGGACGGCAAGATTATGATAAACATTTTTCTAACATCCTGGTTGTCTCCCACCGAGACAGGGTGACCCGACAAAGAAACACTTTCACTGTTACTTATTCAATCACTGTCTTGCTAGAAACGTGCTGACATTAATAGTTCAGATTACTCTCTAAATACCAGCATCTCCACTCCTCCTTCAGAGTGCAGGCACTGTACTTCCCACCTCCAGGACTCAAGTCCGCTTCACTGAATCCCTTCATAAATGTTACTTTGCTCATACTCCAACAGCACATCAAATCATAAAAACCACTTACCTCTACTCACTCCTGTCTAACATGGTCACACATTCCTGCTGCATGTCCAACCTTCTAGCATTCAAAACCTCCTGGTGGTTAACGTTCTCGCTTCACACGGCGAGGGTCTGGGTTCGATTCCCAGCCAGAGTAGAAACATTGGACGTGTTTCTTTCCACATGTTGTCTATGTTCCCCATCAGTAAAATGGGTACCTGGGTGTTAGTCGACTGGTGTGGGTCGCATCCTGGAACACTGACCTAATTTGCCCGACATGCGGAGCCTTACTCCGCCCTCCGTCCATTACAGATTTATACACTCTCTTTGTCATTATATCTTGCTCCATCCTCTCTAAATGTCCAAACCACCTCAAGAACCCTTCCTTAGTCCTCTCAATAATAATTTTAATAACTCCGCACCTCAGAATCTCCAAACACCGAATTTTCTGAGAGGAAATGATAACGTAGAGAAGGTGAGCCTAATTGCAAGACGGATCCCGGGAACACGAGCGCACCGCTGGAAGTTAAAAGCACAGATGAGTCGGAGGGATGTCACGAAATACTTCTTTAGCCTTAGGCGGGATGTATACATGGTTATACGAACAGGTATAATAGGGGTCATGAAGCCAGGGTAAGTGAACCCAGTAACAACCAACGTAGAGGGGGGGACCAGGAGCTGAGACTCTACCCCTGCAACCACAATTAGGTGAGCACAGGCAAACCATCTCATAGAACGAAAGTGCCATTTAAAAAATATAAATAAGTTGGTGTTAGACGACCACTCCTTCAGAGAACACGTTATGACAAGTGGAGAGAAGGTCACGAAAATTATAGGGCGGATTATGAGAACATTAAAAAGTAGAGCAACAACCAAGTGATGGTGCAGTTGAACTCTGTTATGTTCTTATGACTGAGGATTGTTGTGTTATGAGGAACTTGCAAGGCTGGAGAGGTAGCAGAGCCGGACAGTGTACAGTGGCTGCACACTGACGCAGACTGCCTATACATCTAAAATACTGAGAATATCACGATAGCAATGGAAATGTAATCTATGGAATGGGGAGAGAGAGAGAGAGAGAGAGAGAGAGAGAGAGAGAGAGAGAGAGAGAGAGAGAGAGAGAGACCTGAAAACATATGCATGGGAAATACTTGCGAGTCCAATAACAAATGTGAACACTATCAATAACACCTACAGGGGTGAGAAACACTGGAGGAAATATTGAAAAAACACAGAGACAGAGGTAACATAGGGACCACCAGGAACCACTACATCAACACCTCTGCTGCACTCCACTCCAATAAACGCCTCAAGTTTCAAGAGGAGACTGAACTGTTACTTACACAAAAAATAAAAAAAAAGTGGTAGATAAGTGTGGGCGTGACCATGAGTCTGTGAGCCACTAGCAGCAACAGCCTCATTAACCATTCAGTCACCGAGGCAGTCTTCTTCAGGCTGGCGGTAAAGCCCAGCACTCTACTAACAGTCAGTAGAACACTGGCCAGGAGATCTGGGGACTGACGTTCCTCATTATCAAGCCTTACCACGTACGTAAGTATTAGTACAGATCCTAGTGCTGACCCTAGTGGAACCCCACTCGTCACACTTGCCCACTCAAACATCTCAGACAACAACTCGTTGTTTCCTTCCTCTTAAGTATTCTTTGGTACAGTGTAGTGCCGTCCCTGTTATTCCTGCCTGATTCTCTGCCTTTTGCCTTATAGTTCTTACACTCCAAAAATATGCAATCCACCCATCTCTCTCTCTCTCTCTCTCTCTCTCTCTCTCTCTCTCTCTCTCCTCTCTCTCTCTCTCTCTCTCTCTCTCTCTCTCTTCTCACATTCGTTAAATTGTAGCAGAAATCTAGAAGATTTGTGAGACAGGATTTACCTTCTCGAAAACCATGGTTGGTGTATACACTGTTATTTTAATCTTTGTGTGTTAGAAGTGATCAAGGTCGCAGGAGCGAAACGTTGTCTATGTTCTAGTGTTAGCTCACCTGTCTTTTTGAAATCAGTCTTCTTCATAACTTTACAGTGTCATCAGAGTCACTGGCCTCTAGTTCAGTGCCTCCTCTGTGTCTCCTTAAGAGGCACCTGAGTTTACGTCTCCTAACATCATGTTTATTTTCCCACTATAATCTACCTTGTCCATAATTACTATCACATTCACTTTGTCTATTTCGTAAGGTGAAGTCCAGGATCTTTTCTTAATTCCTGGTATAACTTAACAATTGTGTTGTAGAGGTGTCAGCAGTGCTCACACCTCTACAACACAATTGTCCTCAAAGATTTGTTAAGTTATACCATGAATTAAGTAAAGATCCTGGACGTCACCTTACGAAATAGACAAAATGTGATAGTAATTATGGACAAGGTAGATTATAGTGGAACAATAACATGTTAGAAGAGAGGGGAACTGATGTGTCTCCTTCAACATGGCGACAACATTCCGTATTTTCCACGCCTCTCTCTTACCTGCCACGACTGCGGAATGTGAAGAAAGATTGTAAATAGTTTTACTTACGTTTATTACTATGATTTACATGAGAGTCAGCTGGTCACGACAGTAACGAACGTTTAAAGGCAGGAATAACTAAATGATTCTAGTGTTTAGTAGATAAATAAAAACAGCCATTGAAAAATGATGTAATTAACGTTGTAAACAACACAGTAACAGGGCTGCCGTTATATCTTCAGTGTTTATAATAATATCATTACTACTACCAGTACATGTACAAGGTATACAGACCATAGCTGACATCACTGACATACTACTATATAGAAAGTTGCTTGTTATGCTGAGTATTTCCCGCAAATTAGGTCAGTTTTATCCCAGGATGCGACCCACACCAGTCCACTAACACCCAAGTACCTATTTTACTGCTAGGTGAACAGGGACAGCAGGTATCTTAAGGAAACACGTCCAATGTTTTCACCCTTACCTGGTATCGAACCACGGAAACTCAGTGTGTGTGTGAAGAGTGTTGCCTACGAGGCCACGGCACACCTTGGTTACACAAAGTTAGGTTGCTTTACCCTAACCTAAACTGACCCATAAAGCCGACCACAACCAGGAACACTATCCTGCTGGGGGAGGATGTTAGGTTGAGGTATAACAGCGTCCAGCCTGCTGAACCTCAACCATATACGTCGCAATCCCGACGTTCGTTGTGAAGACTGTTCTTGTTATTTCTGTTGTGTCTGTGTTGTTGCTTTGATTTATATAAGAATTAAAGTGTAATTAACTGGATATAATGTAGCATATATCTCCACAGGCAGACATCACAGCTGTCTACCACCGTAGCTGTCTACCACCGCTGCTGTCTACCACCGCTGCTGTCTACCACCGCTGCTGTCTACCACCGTAGCTGTCTACCACCGTAGCTGTCTACCACCGTAGCTGTCTCACCGTAGCTGTCTACCACCGTAGCTGTCTCACCGTAGCTGTCTACCACCGTAGCTGTCTACCACCGTAGCTGTCTACCACCGCAGCTGTCTACCACCGTAGCTGTCTACCACCGTAGCTGTCTACCATCGTAGCTGTCTACCACCGTAGCTGTCTACCACCGCTGCTGTCTACCACCGTAGCTGTCTACCATCGTAGCTGTCTACCACCGTAGCTGTCTACCACCGCAGCTGTCTACCACCGTAGCTGTCTACCACCGTAGCTGTCTTCCACCGCAGCTGTCTACCACCGTAGCTGTCTTCCACCGCAGCTGTCTACCACCGTAGCTGTCTACCACCGTAGCTGTCTACCACCACCACCATGACCGTAAATTACACAGATGATGTTGCAAGTCGAAGAGGCTTCGGTTCCTTCTGGAAACTGATGCTCAAGTAAGTCTCCACTGTCTCTCCACTATCTATCCACTGTCTCTCTACTGTCTCTCTACTGTCTCTCCACTGTCTCTCTACTGTCTCTCTACTGTCTCTCCACTGTCTCTCTACTGTCTCTCTACTGTCTCCCATATCACCCCTTTAAGAGTATCATGGGTGTATGAAAGAGATGTGGAATAAGTTAGATAAGGCAGACTCTCTACGCAGCTTCAAGCAAGGGTACGACACAGCCAATGAGACTAGAACCCAGTAAATAACACACACACACACACACACACACACACACACACACACACACACACACACACACCACACGCACACACACACACACACACACACACACACACACACACACACACACACACACACACACACACACACACACACACACACACACACACACACACACACACACACACGCACACACACACACACACACACACACACACACACACACACACACACACACACACACACACACACACACCTTCTGGAGTTTTATGATAAAATAACAGAAGTAAGACAAGAGAGAGAGGGGTGGGTTGATTGCATCTTCTTGGACTGCAAGAAGGCCTTTGACACAGTTCCTCACAAGAGATTAGTGCAGAAGCTAGAGCATCAGGCGCATATAACAGGAAGGGCACTGCAATGGATCAGAGAATACCTGACAGGGAGGCAACAACGAGTCATGGTACGTAATGATGTATCACAGTGGGCACCTGTGACGAGCGGGGTCCCACAGGGGTCGGTCCTAGGACCAGTGCTATTTTTGGTATATGTGAACGACATGACGGAAGGGTTAGACTCAGAAGTGTCCCTGTTTGCAGATGATGTGAAGTTAATGAGGAGAATTAAATCTGATGAGGACCAGGCAGGACTTCAAAGAGACCTGGACAGACTGGACACCTGGTCCAGCAAATGGCTTCTCGAATTTAATCCTGCCAAATGCAAAGTCATGAAGATAGGGAAGGGCACAGAAGACCACAGACAGAGTATAGGCTAGGTGGCCAAAGACTGCAAACCTCACTCAAGGAGAAAGATCTTGGGGTGAGTATAACACCGAGCATGTCTCCGGAAGCACACATCAATCAGATAACTGCTGCAGCATATGGGCGCCTGGCAAACCTGAGAACAGCATTCCGACACCTTAGTAAGGAATCATTCAAGACACTGTACACCGTGTATGTCAGGCCCATACTGGAGTATGCAGCACCTGTTTGGAACCCGCACTTGATAAAGCACGTCAAGAAACTAGAGAAAGTACAAAGGTTTGCAACAAGGTTAGTTCCAGAGCTAAGGGGAATGTCCTATGAAGAAAGATTAAGGGAAATCGGCCTGACGACACTGGAGGACAGGAGGGTCAGGGGAGACATGATAACGACATATAAAATACTGCGTGGAATAGACAAGGTGGACAAGGACAGGATGTTCCAGGGAGGGGACACAGAAACAAGAGGCCACAATTGGAAGTTGAAGACACAAATGAGTCAGAGAGATAGTAGGAAGTATTTCTTCAGTCATAGAGTTGTAAGGCAGTGGAATAGCCTAGAAAATGACGTAGTGGAGGCAGGAACCATACACAGTTTTAAGACGAGGTTTGATAAAGCTCATGGAGCGGGGAGAGATAGGGTCTAGTAGCAACCGGTGAAGAGGCGGGGCCAGGAGCTAGGACTCGACCCCTGCAACCACAAATAGGTGAGTACAAATAGGTGAGTACACACACACACAAGGCCTAGTGTCTAATCGACATGTGCCTAGGACCAAATGGTAACTAACACACACACACACACACACACACACACACACACTGAAGTATTTACAGTGGAAACCAGTAGGACTCCAGGAAATCAGAACAGGGGGGTACACCAGCAAGTGCTGGATGAGGTACAAATAACCAAGGAGGAGGTGAAGAAGCTGCTATGCGAACTTGACACCTCAAAGGCGGTGGGACCAGACAACATCTCCCCATGGGTCCTTAAAGAGGGAGCAGAGATATTGTGTGAGCCATTAACAAAGATCTTCAACACATCGTTTGAAACTGGGCAACTCCCTGAGGTATGGAAGATGGCAAATGTAGTCCCAATTTTTAAAAACGGAGACAGACATGAGGCACTAAACTACAGACCTGTATCACTAACGTGTATAGTATGCAAGGTCATGGAGAAGATCATAGGAGGAGAGTGGTGGAGCACCTGGAAAGAAACAAATGTATAATTGACAACCAGCACGGTTTCAGGGAAGGAAAATCCTGTGTCACAAACCTACTAGAGTTTTATGACAAGGTGACAGAAGTAAGACAAGAGAGAGAGGGGTGGATCGACTGCAATTTTTTGGACTGCAAGAAGGCCTTCGACACAGTTCCTCACAAGAGGTTACTGCAAAAGCTAGAGGATCAGGCACACATAACAGGAAAGGCACTGCAATGGATCAGAGAATACCTGACAGGGAGGCAACAACGAGTCATGGTACGTGACGAGGTGTCAGAGTGGGCGCCTGTGACAAGCAGGGTTCCACAGGGGTCAGTCCTAGGACCTGTGCTGTTCTTGGTATATGTGTACGACATAACGGAAGGGATAGACTCAGAAGTGTCCTTGTTTGCAGATGATGTGAAGTTAATGAGAAGAATCAAATCGGATGAGGATCAGGCAGGACTACAAAGAGACCTGGACAGGCTACAAGCCTGGTCCAGCAACTGGCTCCTTGAGTTTAACCCTGCCAAATGCAAAGTCATGAAGATTGGGGAAGAGCAAAGAAGACCGCAGACACAATATAGTTTAGATGGCCAAAGTTTGCAAACCTCACTCAAGGAAAAAGATCTGGGGGTGAGTATAACACGAGCATATCTCCTGAGGCGCACATCAATCAGATAACTGCTGCAGCATACGGGCGCCTGGCAAACCTACGGATAGCGTTCCGATACCTCAGTAAGGAGTCGTTCAAGACTCTGTATACCATTTACGTCAGCCCATACTGGAGTATGCAGCACAGTTTGGAATAAACACCTAGTCAAGCACGTCAAGAAATTAGAGAAAGTGCAAAGGTTTGCAACAAGACTAGTCCCAGAGCTACGGGGATTGTCCTACGAGAAAGGTTGAGGGAAATCGCCTGATGACACTGGAGACCAGGAGGGTCAGGGGAGACATGATAACGACATATAAAATACTGCGCGGAATAGACGAGGTGGACAAAGACGGGATGTTCCAGAGATGGGACACAGACACAAGAGGTCACAATTGGAAGTTGAAGACTCAGATGAATCAAAGGGATGTTAGGAAGTATTTCTTCAGTCATAGAGTAGTCAAGCCGTGGAATAGCCTAGAAAGTGAAGTAGTGGAGGCGGGAACCATACATAGTTTTAAGGCGAGGTATGATAAAGCTCATGGAGCAGGGAGAGAGAGGACCTAGTAGCAATCAGTGAAGAGGCGGGGCCAGGAGCTATGAATCGACCCCTGCAACCACAAATAGGTGAGTACATACATACATACATACATACATACATACATACATAATGTTCTAGACGCCTGGAGGGAGTGAACCCAGTAATCACCAATTAAGAAGGACCAGGTGCTGAGACTCAACCCTTGCAACCACAGACAAGGGATTATACACTCGCTTATAAGAAGGTGGGGTTGGTATCTGTCTCCTTGATGACCCAGGAACAATGACTCGACTCTTGTTTATAATTAGGTAAATACACTTCAGTGACTTGCAACACTCATCTCTGCTGTGTACCCTCACTCACTCTACTGATACATAGTTGTAGTACAGCTCCTGGTACCCTCACTCACTCTACTGATACATAGTTGTAGTACAGCTCCTGGTACCCTCACTCACTCTACTGATACATAGTTGTAGTGCAGCTCCTGGTACCCTCACTCACTCTACTGATACATAGTTGTAGTGCAGCTCCTGGTACCCTCACTCACTCTACTGATACATAGTTGTAGTGCAGCTCCTGGTACCCTCACTCACTCTACTGATACTTAGTTTGTAGCGCAGCTCCTGGTACCCTCACTCACTCTACTGATACATAGTTGTAGTACAGCTCCTGGTACCCTCACTCATTCTACTGATACATAGTTGTAGTACAGCTCCTGGTACCCCTCACTCTACTGATACATAGTTGTAGCACAGCTCCTGGTACCCTCACTCACTCTACTGATACATAGTTGTAGCACAGCTCCTGGTACCCTCACTCACTCTACTGATACATAGTTGTAGTGCAGCTCCTGGTACCCTCACTCACTCTACTGATACATAGTTGTAGTGCAGCTCCTGGTACCCTCACTCACTCTACTGATACATAGTTGTAGTACAGCTCCTGGTACTCTCACTCACTCTACTGATACATAGTTGTAGTACAGCTCCTGGTATCCTCACTCACTCTACTGATACATAGTTGTAGTGCAGCTCCTGGTACCCTCACTCACTCTACTGATACATAGTTGTAGTGCAGCTCCTGGTACCCTCACTCTACTGATACATAGTTGTAGCACAGCTCCTGGTACCCTCACTCACTCTACTGATACATAGTTGTAGTACAGCTCCTGGTACCCTCACTCAATCTACTGATACATAGTTGTAGTACAGCTCCTGGTACCCTCACTCACTCTACTGATACATAGTTGTAGTACAGCTCCTGGTACCCTCACTCACTCTACTGATACATAGTTGTAGTGCAGTTCCTGGTACCCTCACTCACTCTATTGATACGTAGTTGTAGTGCAGCTCCTGGTACCCTCACTCACTCTACTGATACATAGTTGTAGTGCAGCTCCTGGTACCCTCACTCACTCTACTGATACATAGTTGAAGTACAGCTCCTGGTACCCTCACTCACTCTACTGATACATAGTTGTAGCACAGCTCCTGGTACCCTCACTCACTTCTATGATACATAGTTGTAGTACAGCTCCTGGTACCCTCACTCACTCTACTGATACATAGTTGTAGTGCAGCTCCTGGTACCCTCACTCACTCTAATGATACATAGTTGTAGT